CGCTCTTTAGAAAACATTACAGCTGACACATAAACCAGGAAAAGGATGAATACTGAATTTTTCAAAATTGTTTCTTTTAAATTTTTTCTCTTTTTTTTATTGTAAAGTGAACAAAGGCTACACTCATGAGAATAAAGAAAGGAATAAATGTGACAACCACTGGAAACATCAACAAATAAAAGCCGATGTAGTGATATAAACCTTAATCAATTAAATAACATGCTGCTGTTGTTTTACACATATCCATTACTGTAAAAATGTCCATAGCTGTATATTGGTTATTTATTCTCCAGCTGAACAATTTTTATGTTGTTAAAACACTTTACAGTAAAGTATTTCACTGTTTATCTTTTAACTCTTCACTATTATCTTATTCTTATACATTTTTCAAAGGTCCACATTTGTGTGACCATTTTTTTCTATAATCTTTTTGCTTCTGTAAATGCCAGAATTTCCCCATTGTGGGATATTAAAGGTATTTTCTATTCTGTTATATTCTATAAAAGGGGTAGAAAGATATAGATAAATCTAAACAATGTATGTATAAAAAATATATCTGCAAAATCTCTTATATTCAACAACAAAAATTACTGTTAAGCAAATTGTGCAGAATTAAAAAATAAAAATCATATCAGATTTATAGTCCCCACACTGCAGATATATTAGAATCTGTCCTTAAATTACAGCCAAACCCATTTACACAGTATAAAAACATTTAGATAAATAAAACAATACCCACCACATATCTGGCTCAATAACCATTAAAACTACTATTTTCATTAATTTCAGACGGAACTTTTCACATACTTGTATTATATTAAACTGAACTTCCAGTATTCACCACTGTTCAGCACCAAATGCCTTTTTCCTCTTATCACAGAGCAGTTGGCTTGCTTGGTCTCGCAAATTAATCATCCTTCAAATCGGACGCATTTGTAGGCTGCATAACGAGGAGTCTTGGAATCCGACCAGACCTCGGCGCTACGCCATGACGTAATCAGCCTCAGAATCCGGCCTTTGGAGGACGCTTCCCATAAATTCGAATGCAGCCTCTATGGGCAAAGATTTTTGCGCCCTAGGGTGGATATGTCACCAAACGGACGAAACATGGGATGATGATTTACTACTCATTAAAGATTAAATATTTCCCTTGCACATCTAAAAAATATACATGTATATATTAAAATCCATCCATTTTCTGTCATGTTTATCCCAATTGGGGTTGCAAGGGGTGCTGGTACTGTACCTATCAGCAGCTGTCTTTGGGCGAGGGGCGGGGTACACCCTGGAAAGGTTGCCAGTACATCGCAGGGCAACACAGAGACCAACAGGACAAACAACCATTCACGCACATACTCCCACCTAAAGAGTATTAAGAGAAGCCAATTAACCTGACAGCCATGTTTTTGGAAACCTGAGTACCCGGAGAAAATTCATGCATGCTCTGTAAGAACATGCAAACTCTCTCTCTCTCTCTCTCTCTCTCTCTCTCTCTCTCTCTCTCTCTCTCTCTCTCTCTCTC